AATACTTTCGATGGCTGCTTTTGATGATTGGTTATTTTGGATTGCTACTAGTCAGAAGGTGATTTTTGTTTCCCTATCTGTGATTTTATTTGCAGCTGCCCAGTTAGCGACACTTCCTGTAGACAAGGAAACTGAGTCATTGCATCAAGGAGAGGAAGAGCTATTTTCCCGATCAGACACTACAAAATTTCTTAGAGCCTTACAGGTAGGTTTAGTGGTGTGCTGGTCAATCTAACAACCCATTCCACCTTCCTCCCCCAACCCAAAAAGAAAGAAAGAGAAAGAAAGAGAGAGGCCCTCATTTGTAGTGTTTGCTGTAAATAGTCCCACCGCGGCTGATTTCAAGTAAACAACATGACATCAACCAGATTGCATATTTTCTGAAAATTTAACAGTTGGCTCTCACTGGTTTGACCTGACTCCAGCACACACACCCTTGGGTTGCTTTGCAATGATTCCTCTGTTCTTATCTGTGGAATGCAATTAGAGCTAGCTTCATGGGCATGCAATCTGTGCAGTCATTACAGGGCCCCATGCTTTGTTTAATGCTCTGCTGTTACCATTTTGAAATTCTTAAAGACAGGGTATTGCTCTGTCGCCCAGGCTAGAGAGCAGTGGCGCCATCATAGCTCACCGCAGCCTTGACCTCCTGGGCTCAAACGATCTTCCTGCCTCAGCCTACCAAGTAGCTGGGACTACGGGTGCACACCACCACGCCCAGCTTTTTAAATTTGCTTTTTTGTAGAGAAGAGGATTTTGCTATGTTGCCCAGCTGATCTCAAATTCCTGGCCTCAAGTGATCCTCCTGCCTTGGCTTCCCAATGTGCTGGGATTACAGGCGTGAGCCACTGCACCTGGCCCCCAGTAGCTTTTTAAAGTGTGGTTTTCCAGCACTGACATTCTAGGATTCCCTAATTTTAAGTTAAATTGCCTACGAAACCTAAGTCCTCCTACCCACTTTTTCAACTAGTTTTGTGCTCAGATACTGACATGCATGTAGAACACACACACACACACACACACACACACACACACACACACGACACACACACACACACACAGGACTCTGCTCTTTGCCTTTTAGAAATTCAGTGTTTCTAAAGGAGTGTGGCTCAGCTGTGGTCTCTGAAGTGCGGCAGTTATGCTGACCAGGGAAGACTCTGGCCACAGCCAGTTTAAAGCGGGGGCTAGTTGTGGTGGTGCTGGAAGTGGGGGGATTTGGGGGGCAACACCTCACATCACCTACATTCTCACAGACTCTCAGGGACTGAAGCTGTCTTAAAAGTTACTGGGCAACCCTGCCCCTCTCCAACAAGTGCTGGGTAAAATAAAACTTAGTGAAACATCTCATGTTTCATATGCATCTCAGGCAGGGGTTTTCTTATTTGAAAGGACACTGCCAGTAATTGGATTTAATGAGAAGAAACTCTTTGTATTTCAAGCAACATCTCCTAATTTGTTTTAAAAAAACATCAGAGCCAGGTGCAGTGGCTCACACCTGTAATCCCAGTGAGTCAGGAGGCAGAGATGGGAGGATCTCTTGAGTCCAGGAGTTTGACAGCAGCCTGGGCAATATAGCGAGACCCTGTCTCTAAAGAAATTAAAAAGCATTAGCCAGTGCAATGGCACGTGCCTGTAGTCCCAGCTACTCAGGAGGCTGAGGCAGAAGGATTGCTTGAGCCCAGGAGTTCGAGGTTACAGTGAGCTATGATTGTGCACTCTGCACTCTGCACTTCAGCCTGGGTGACACAGTGAGACTCCATCTCTAAAAAAAAAAAGAAAAAAGAAAAAAAACCCACAAAAACAAAAAAACTCCAAATCCCCTAAATCAATATTTTTGACTGTGGCTTAGGGTTTTCTTGAAGCTCTAGAGGCTTG